GGCAAAGGAAAGGGCACTGGAGCCAGGTGACTATGAACTCTAGGCATCTGGTGACACACACGATGGCAGAAAGGCCCTAAAACACGCAAATCACAAGAGCCCCAGAATTCCACTGGAGTTTTAGCTAACTTATAAAATGAGCCCACAGGTAGCATGGAGAACAGAGCCCTCCGATGGCATCCGAGCTCCGTGAGCCGGTGCTGTTACTGCTAAACTGCAAAGTGATGCTAAGAAGACGTGTCATAAATTTAAAAATTTTAACACATTTCAAAATGTACACACAATCCTAAGAAAGCTAGAAAGTGTATCAAGCCTCATTATAAAATCTGAGGGCAGTATGTCCCTTGATCAATCTTGGTGGATTCCAGTTATCACATTTAGATTCTGGTGTCCCACATCGGATAAAATGAGGGAAACAGCACTATTAAAATTCATTACTAATGTGTTTTGTTTGGGTTTTTAAAAAAGCAAACATTTAAAAATCAGATTTCAAATACAAATTTTGGAATTCTCAGCTTCTCTTGGAAAAGACTGGTAGATCCAGCAATTGTGGACCCTGAGAGCACTGAGCTGTGGGGAGGGTGTGGTTCCCGCCAGCCACTGTGGCTGGTGAAAGACCATCCAGAGAACAATGGCCCCAGGTGGCCACTGTGAAGAATGCAGGTTCTGATTTCTTGGGTCAGAGTTGTTGCCTGAAACTCTGCATTTCTGAAAAGCTCGATGAGATGCTGCTCCATTAACATAAGCACAAATCCAACAGGAGATAGAAAAGCAAACAGTATCTTTATTTAATAATCTTTGATATTTAAAATACAACTCATGGAACATCCACATGGATAAGAGAATAAGCAGTGGTCAACAGTGCTTTGGAGGCCCGGCTTTCCCAAGGACCAGGCGGAGACCTGTGTATCCTGAGGGCAGGGCTGCAGAGCTGGGTCCTGACCACCACCCACCACCCTGCACATGGACCGCGGCCAAACAGCACTTCCTATGCCAGATGTCGTATGAACTTGTGAGTCAAGTATTTTATTTATACAGAACAGTAATATTTAAAAATTTTGTCCAGTGTTGTAGAAATTAGATAATTACACCTCAAATTTGTTTTCCTCTTTCAAAAGAAAAAAGATTATTTTAAATCTCAGGAAACATTCACCTTTGAACTCTCCAAGAGGTGACTGAGCACTTCCTGAATGATCAGGAATGTCCAGGTAAATGTTATCAATGTTCCCACTGCTTTGTCTAGGAATCCAGTCTTAAAATATTTTTTGACACATTAATATTAAACATGCCATTACCATAAATTTAGAAGCTAAGCTATTAACATTAATTCTTTTTTTTGAGTTGGAGTCTCACTCTGTTGCCTAAGCTGAAGTTCAGTGACACCCTCACAGCCACTGCAGCCTTGAACTGCTGGGCTCAGGCAATCCTTCCGCCTCAGCCTTCCAAGTAGCTGGAACTACGTGCGTGCACTAACACATCTGGCTAATTTTTTGACTTATTGTAGAGATGAGGTCTCACCATGTTGCCCAGGCTGGTCTTGAACTCCTGGGCTCAGGTAATCCTCTGGCCTCCACTTCCCAAAGTGCTGGGATCATAAGTGTGAGCCATCACACTTGACAACATTAATTCTTAAAACACCAGACCATTTTGGAAAAAATAAAGAGCAGAAGTCTTCTTTGAATTAAAAAAAATTCAAGAATTAACCATTTCTATAATCTTTTCATACATGACAGCAGAACAGAACAAAAATACTTTTATTCTATTTAAGATTAAAAAACAAAACAAAACCAGATCATTTCTTTAGGACCAGGAATGCAGGAAAGCTCTTATTTCAATATGAAAAAACAAATGACTGACACTGCTGAAATGAGCTGCTCCAACCTGGCTTTTCTCAGCTAAGGTCACTGTGTCTGGCTCCTGTTTGTCTGGCCGGATGCTGCAAGCAACTCCCTCGGAGAATAGCAACCTGAGGCCTCTTCCCTCTTGGATAAAGTCTTTAACAAGGAAGTCATCGATACTAATTATTGAATCCTCCAAAGAATTTCAAATGTCAAGATTTTTCAATTTAAGATGAAAAAATTATAATACTTCGATTATGTACCAAATTGATCTTTTTTGATTTGTACAGGTCCAATGAGCCAGTTTTAAGATTTAGTAACACATCACTACCTTGATTTTTAAAATAGTATCAAACATGTAGACATTCAAAATGTTATTTAGGCTCTGAAATAAAACTTTTTTTCCAACTTAATATTAAATGAAATAACATAGACTCATGGTAGTTTCACCTATAATACTTAACTAGTTTTGAGCCTTTTTCCTCATTTACTTTGGCATCATGAATAATCCTTAAGAAAAATAAGTTTTAAAGAAAAAAAGCACCTCCTTAAGATATTTTGTAAATTGTAAATTATTTGGCCAAGATCTTAAAGTTTAAATATAGTGTTTACTTCAGCAACCTTTTCAAACAATTTACATTACTGAAATATCTGTATGTTAATTACTGTAAAAAACTATGTTGATGGTTTTAGATCAGAATTATTCATAGTTTTAAAAACATAAATAACTTATTAAATCTACGACATCTGAAAATTTGAAAGTGGTATTTCGAGGCTTGTTTAAACATGTAACACTAGCATCACCACTGTACATATTTTATCCTAATACAAATTATACATTAGAAAAATGATACTAACAGTTTAAATATTAAACGTTGACATTTCCCAATTGGCAAATCAGAATGGAAATCTCTGTCAGTTCCAGCGAGGTGGTCCTTGGGGCCCTCCCACAGGTTCCCTGATGTGTCAGCTTGACACTTTGTGATGCTGTGGTTATAAGCGCTGGCATCTGGGGTCTAAACGTTCAATTACATTTAAGTCAATCCAGCCAAAACAGCGGCTCATGAGTAACCCTAGCTCTGCCTGCCAAAGAGAGCAAACCCACAACAAACTCAGCAAACACGTTCAGACGCACTCAGCATGTGCTTAGCTCTGCTTACAATTCCTGACAACTGAAAGTCAACATTCTGCATATTCTTAAGTGCTTTAACTAGGGTATATAATACATGAACTTTATAAATTCTTAAATGCATTCTGGTTTTCTCACTTTTATATTACATAGTTCATCAAGTGTGTGAAAGGTTTAATGTAACTTTTCAATGAGAAAAGGTAATGGCCAAATATCCGTGGAAAACATGACTACTGAGATAACTGCATAAATGTTCAGGCTGAAAATAGTTAAGTCTTGAGGGAGCAGGACAAAATTCTAACACTCCTCACAGTTCTCAAGTTTCATAATTCTTCTGAAACATTTTCAACTGTTAGGAAAAAACTTTAGATTTTAAAGTAAAACTAATTCTATTTAAGGGAAACTTCAGAAAACTTTAATTGGCACGAAATAATGACTTAAAAAGTCTGTTACATTCAATAAAAAGCTCTTTTATAATCAAAATTAAAATACATTTTTCCATTTCTTTTCAGTTAGCAACTCTAGATCAAAAACTTTCCCTGATAAAATGTGTGCAGCCACATGCCAGTAGGGCACCATACCGTATTTCAATATCCAAAGTTGTCAGCCGAAATTTCTTCGATTTGAGCTTATGAACAATGCAACATTCAAAAGGGCTTCAAGAGGGGTTGGAAGCAGGTAAGAGAATCTAAAACACCCATTTCAGAGACATGGTTTTCACCAAAGTCATACCACTCCACTGACCCAGCAAAAAAACTCTCTGTACATCCCAATTAAAGAATATTTATCAAAACTATGGACTTTCTTATTTACAGACCTATCAAGTCCTGTGACTTCTATAGTTTGTTTTTTTTTTTTTGAGTTGGAGTTTCACTGACGCCTAGGCTGGAGTGCAGTGGCATGCTCACGGCCACCACAGCCTTGACTTGCTGGGCTCAGGCGATCCTTCAGCCTTCCAAGTAGCTGGAACTGCAGGTGTGAGCTACCACGCCTGGCTTATTTTTTAATTAACTTATTTTTTGATTACCACGCCTGGCTTATTTTTTGAAGTTGCCCAGGCTGTTCTCAAATCTCTGGGCTCAGGCAGTCCTCTCGCCTCGGCCTCCCAAAGTGCTGGGATTACAGACTGAGCCACTGCGCCCGGCCAAGTTCTTAAGCTATCTAAGCATGATGCAAATGTCAAATCACAATATACTTTCAGTAAGTCATTCTCATGTTCCAGGTGACTGTCACTGGCAATTCATACCCGCTAACAGATGTGAAACAGATATTGGTATTCCATGGATAGACTGTATCCCAAGCAGAAAGCTCCAGTCACAGGAGAAAACAAAATGAAATTGCTATCAAAATTGAAGGCCAACTCGTCTATCATACATTCACGGTGGGCGTCATGAGTCTTGTGACAGGGAGCTGCTTGCATCCTACGCTTCTGCTTGTCAAGAAGAAAAGACATTAAGGCGCAGGGAAACGGGGTGCACCCAGCTGTGACTCTGACATCACTAAGAAGACATTCAGGAAGCACTAGGGACAAATGCATCCCACAGATAACATGCTCATGTATCCTCAAGTGCTTGGTCAAGGCTGACTTGACAGTTCGGGAGTGCACCAGAGTCATGACATAATCCCATCTCAAGGGGCTTAAAAAGCAAAACCTCAGCAAAGATTACCGTCTTTCAGAAGAGTTGCAAAAAAAAATAATAAAAATCAGGTGGTGGAAAAAACAGAGAGAATGACACAAGAAAACATTCAAGCATGACACATGGTCGGAAGGACCATCCACCCTCTAGGACCGCTGCTGTCACCAACACAGACCAGACACTTCCCAAAAGGCTTGTGTGATTAATGAGAAAAAGAGACAGCCATTACACAGGGAAAGCGACCCAAATTACGTCCAACAGAAGACAGAAAAAGAAAACCCAACTATTTGGAATAAGTTCTGTGGCAAGAGCCAAAGAGCCGGTTTGCAAGAAGATGTGGGGGTGTCAGACGTGTTCAATATTGCACACTTGAGAAAGGAGGAGGGACGTCTGGAAAACTATTTGAAGTCCTTTAATTGCCGATGCCTCTTTGGGTAGTATCTGGAGGATCGTGCTTAATCCTGCAACTGACGCATTTTCCCACCTTCTCATAATTTTGTTTGCAAACCACCTAAAATTCTTATTTCCCCATGTCTTTGACACGTGCCAAGTGGACCCTATGCAGTCATCACAAGGACGACGTTGGAAAGCGGGAGCATCTGAGTGGCTCTTAACAGGAGTTATTTTTTCCTTCTGTTTTCAAGTCATTCCCAACAGTCTCTAGCGACATGGTCATGGCCGCCTGCAGCATGTCCTCTTCGCTCCGCGAATCCCCTGCTGGGAAGGAAAACATACTGATCAGACATTTCTGGAAAATTCTCAGAGCATCAAAAGGCAAGCTCTTAGGAAATGGATTTTTATCTAAGCACAAGTGTCCTTGATTTTTTAAATTCATATAAGTAAAATTCATGTGTATAATTGTATAATTTTTGATAAATGCATATATGGCTGTACTAACACCATCATCAGGATATAAGACCAACCCACTCTTCTGGACACCCTCTGGGGCTGCCTCTTGAGCTAGATCGTCATGCTCAGTCACCAGCCTGCTTTCTGTTCTACAGTTCTGCCTTCTCCTGTGTGCCATTTATAGAGAATGGCAACTTCTATTTAGCATAACACATTTGAAATGTGTTGTGTTTATCAACTATTCATGCTTTAAAAAAATTTTCTATTCTACAATTGTCAATCTAAAGGAAGTTGTAAAGAGATTTCAGAGAGGTCCCATGTATTCTTTGGTCCAATGTGACCCAATAGTTATATCCTAGGTAGCTAAAGCCCAAACGGAAGCTCGGATGTTGACATCGGCAGAGGCTGGGCAGTTCTGTATGGCACTTTTATCACATGTGGATTCATGTACTCACCATGACCAAGACACAGAACTGCTGTCATCTCACGAAGACATCTCTTCTGGTCCCATGCTCATACCCACCCCCTTGTCAACTCTCCCTGCTGCTGGAGTCCAATCACTTGTTCTCTGCATTCACATGCCTGTCACTTTCAGAACGCTATACACATGAAGTTACATGGTGTGAGCCCTTCTGAGCAAACATTAGCAGTTTCCAATTGGGGTAGTCATGAATAAAGCTACCATCAGCATTTAAACACATTTCTGTGTTAACCTATTTTCTTTCCTCCTGGTCATGTATGGAGGAGTGGGACTGCTGAAACACATGGTTAAAAAACACCAGTGTCTTCCCAGGTTGCTGTTCCCTTTCACATTTCCACTAATAGTGTGTGAGGGTCCCACCAGGTGCTCTGTTCCTTGCTAGCACTCGGTATTGTCAATTGATTAAACCATACTTGTAGGTATGTAGTGCTATCTCACCGTGGCTTTAATGTACAATTCCCTATTATTTTTATTTTTTATTTTAAGCTCAGGGGGTACATGTGCAAGTTATGTGTGCTGGTGAGGTTTGGGCTTGCTCAGTGGGTTGTTTTTCAACCTGGCCCCACTACTTCAAGAGCTCAGTGTCTGCCGTTCTCATCTGATGACCAGTTGATCCAGAGCACCTGTCCACGTGCTCTTGTCACCCCTATATCCTACTTGGTGAGGTTTTCAAATCTTTACCCATTTATTGAGCTGTTTCCGTATACTGCAGTTTTTTGTTTGTTTGTTTTTTTTTTGAGTCAGAATCTCACTCTGTCACCCATGCTGGAGTGCAGTGGCATGCTCACAGCCACTGCAGTCTCAGCCTGCTTGGCTCAGGAGATCCTTCCACCTCAGCCTTCCAAGTAGCTGGAACTACAGGTGTGTGCCACCATACCCGGCTAATTATTTATTTATTATAGATACCAGGTCTTGCCAAGTTGCCCAGGCTGGTCTCGAACCCATGGGCTCAGGCAATCCTCTTGCCTCTGCCTTCCAGAGTGCTGGGATTACAGGCATGAGCACTGCTTATAGTGCAGTTTTAAGAGTTCTCTACACATGCTCCCCACAAGTACTTTGTCAGATGCGGTCACCTTATCACTCAACTGCTACTATCAATGACTAGCCAGAGTTTAAGACCTGGTGAACCAAGGCCAGGTGAGTAACTACTTCCTGCTGTATTTAGATTATGCTCAAGTGGTTTGCACTTTCCAAGTGGTTAAGTGTATTCATTTTTCACCTATTAATATTCATGATCTGAGAAATTTTTGGAGATGTACTAATTACTGTGAAGTTGAAACACAATATTCACTGAATGCCCTAGTCTATCTGCTCCTTAAAATCCAGGGGAATTCAGCAGATTACAAATTCACTTAAGAGTTGCGATACAATTAAAGAGGGAAAAATACTGCAAACCAAAAATCACGTGGAGCCTGTGTGTCCAACAGAGTGCAGATGACCCATGTGGTGGGCAGGTGCTGTACCTGGGCTGCTCTCCAGGGCTCCTGGGCATGTGGTTGGCCTGTCCCACAGGTGGGAACTCGGTCCTGGGGGACCCACCTGCTGTTGTTGCCTGAAACATGCAAAAGTGAATATATGTTAAAAAAAACAATCAAAACTAAGAATAAAAACACCAAGAGAAAACTATTTATATGGAAAATGAACAGTTCCACAAATCAAGACAGTCCCTGGCATGAACATCACGAGAGAATGTAAGAGCACTGAGGCTCATGTGTATTTCTTAAGAGTATCCAAGTGAGGATCCCAGGAAGCCTAGATATAAAATTTGAATTTATCAAATCAATTAAGAGATATTTTTACCATAAAAATAACATATCCAAAAAGATTCCCTTGTAGCTATTCTTTTACAAATGAGCACTGGTTATGATGCACATCTTTGAGGAGACGGGCAAGCTGACAGCATGCAGGATCTCTCATGGCTGGTCCTCCTTGCCTTCAGGTTTGAGCTCCACGCCTTTCCTGATTGCCCACCCAAGGCAGCCTCTTGCATTCTTATCACCTCGTCACAGCCTTTTAATTCTCAGCATGGACGTGCCATTACCTGATCTTCCTTGCTAGAGTACAAGCTAACAAGACCCCAAGTCTATCTTCCTCCCAGTGCCTAACACTGTGCTGTCAAAAGAGCAGTCATCAAATACTTGATGAACAGAAGAAAAGGAAACAACTACTAAACACACAGTCCAGTTTCCACTACCATCTATTGCATCAAGTTACCCCGTATATTTTTTCCAAATAAAAAGCAATGCCATAAAAATCCACATTTTAACCCTTTGCACTGGATGTCCCCTCTGAGGGGACTCTAAATCTAGCAAACCACTCGGATGTCCCCTCTCAAGGGACATAAAGAGACTGCTGGTGATTATACTGGACAAACTTATGCCAGTGTAAATTTTTCAAAAATGTATGTTTCCTAGAAGTTTCCACTCAAATTGCATGAAAAAACAAAGAGATGGAATATATACCGAGATATGATTGATCCATTGAGAAGTGGTTTTCAGGAATCATGAGTGTGCCCTTCCACACTGGCTTCGAACAACAGACTGGACAATAAATTACTTATTATTACTGTGGGAGGAAGAGAACAAGACTGCATTGTCTGCTCCCACAGAAAAACACCACGTAGGCCAGGCACGGTGGCTATCTATAATCCTAGCACTTTGGGAGGCTGAGGTGATAGGACTGCCTGAACCCCCAGGTTTGAGACCAGCCTGGGCAACTTGGCAAGACCTCATCTCTACTAAATAAAAAATAAATAAATAAAACCAGGCATGGTGGTGTGCGCCTGTAGTTCCAGCTACTTGGAAGGCTGAGGCGGAAAGATTGCCTGAGCCCAGCAGATTGAGGCTGCGGTGGCCAAGAGCATGCCACTGCACTCCAGCCTGGGCAACAGAGTAATACTCTAACTCAAAAAAAAAGAAAAAAGAAAAGAAAAACACCAAGTAGAAGATGTCTAGCAAATTATTATTGCACAACAGGTAAACAGGTATCAGTGAACCCACAACGCATGTCGGTGACTGTTTCACACGCTACCACATTAGAAAAATATAAGATACAAAATTTTGATATTTTTTGTCATAAGTTCCTCAATGCCCAGAATTCCATAAGAAACCAAATATCATTACAATAAAATAATTGGTTCCAACGCTATACTATTTAATATGAAGGATTTGTTTTTCACAGTTTCGTATAAAAATGTGGTCAAGTTGCTGGCAGGTGATCTGTGAGATGTCTCTCAGTGCAGAGGGTTAAAATGTTTAAACATGTTGGTAATGATGTAAATATGCAGGTACATACCCTTGTGCTTACAAAATACACACTGAAAGTGGGGACCAAACAGAGGCCCAAACTTTACCTGTATGATGATCATTTGTATACCTAATCCTGAATTGTACGCCACGTCTTTAAAATTAAAAATTTTTTTGAATTAAAAAAATGCACACTGAAATACTGAGATGCTATCAGAAGTCATGCCTGCAAGTTATCCCTAGATGCCTAGGAAGTGCCAACAACTGGAGACTCAAGGCCAGGTAGAAGGAACTCTGTGTACTGTTTCTGCTTTCATGTAAATAAAAATTTGAATTCGGAAATGCTTCCGGTTCCAAGCATTTCAGATGCAGGACACACACCCTGTATTCACACATAAAAACACAAGCATGGAAGACGAAAAACATAACCTATAAACAGCCAAAAATCTGAGAAGCCATAGGTTAACAAAGATTACAAGCATTTTAAAAGGAACTAGAGTTTTTAAACTAACATTTATTAATAGGATGGCACATTTTCTCTATAGTCCCTCTTAACCTTGTCATTTAAAAATATAAGCCCAAGTAAAGTCCAGCCGGGGAGAAGTGCCAGTTCTCCCTGCTGGTGTTGGAGCCAGGATGCTGCAACTCATAGGCACCTAGCCGTCTCAGGTGGAATGTGATCAGACAATACTCAGTACCCACTCTCACGGGACCCTCAGCACACAGGCTGCAGAGCTCACCCCACACCCCCAGGGTCCCTTACACATGGGCTCTGTCCAAATACACATTCACCTGGCCTCAGCCCCATCCCTGGGTTCCCTTACATATGGGCTCTGTACAAATCCACACTCCCCCAGCCTCACCCCCATGTCCCAGGTTCTCTTACACAGGGGTTTGGTATAAATCCACACTCGCCCAGCCTCATCCCCATCCCCAGGTTCCCTTATACATGGGCTCTGCACAAAACCACACTCAACTTGGCCCCACTGCCATGTCTCAGGTTCCCTTACACATGGACTCTGTACAAATCCCCACTTGCCCGGTCTCACCCCCGCACGCCAGGTTCCCTTACACACAGGCTCCATACAAAGCCACACTTGCTTGGCCTCACCCCCATGTCCCGGATTCCCTTACACATGGGCTCTGTACAAATCTACACTTGTTTGGCCTCACCCCCATGCACCAGTATCCCTTACACACTGGCTCTATATGACTCACACTTGCCCAGACCTTCAAAGGCAGAAGCGAGAACCCTCTTCATCCTCCTGCTCCTAGGGGTTCTCTGCTAGCAAGAGAACCATGGAGGCGTCAGTCCCAGAATATGCCTTGTCGACAGTGCAGTGAAGGCCACACTTAGGTGTCTAGGTATCTGAGGGGGCATCTTCCCTATCCCAGGGCCACAGCCTCTGCCATGCATTCTGAACCCTAACCCCAACCCTGGTCCCAACAGGTGGGGTCACAGTTCTCCTGCACACTAGCTGTGGCGGTCGGCAGGCCTGAGTGAGAGCAGTACCACCAGCTCCTCCCAAAAGCTTATGGAAGCCCCTAGCTTCTGTAGTAAACACTTTTCTTGTTAAAACCCTTCTGTTTCTTAAGCTGAGCACTACCTGGTCTGGTGAACTATGCGATACCACTGATTTGGTGGCTCAAGCCTCAGGCAATTCAAAGATTCCTGCAGTACGGGCCGAGAAGAGATCTGTGTCCCTCCTTGCTGGGAAACACTGTTTTTCCATAACAGAAAGAACCCACATCACTTCCCAGTTCCCTGGAGGAGACATGAGCCATGCTAGCATCATCAGTGGGACACCTGACCTGTATAGAACAGTTTTACACATATCGCCCAACTTGATGCTCACATTCCTTGGTAAGGCAGTTTTTGCAGTGACACTGCTGATGTGGTAGACTGTGTTTGGGGTCTTATAACAAGTAAACATTTAGAGATGACTATGAAAATATTTCTTAACAGCTCTTACCAATAAACTGCAATAATAAACAAATAATAAAACCAGAGGCAGATTTTTCACAGCATTTTCTGTGCTGAGAGAAACCCTATAGTGTGCTTTATGAACGAATACTATAGTTACTATGTCAGGCACAAAGCTTCAAATACTCGAAAGGGGGAAAAACCATATGAAGAATGAGTTAGCACCAAGGTCACTGTGGGGAGCACAAGAGGAAAGAGAGAGAACTAGCCGGTAAGCTAAAAACCAAGTGCCTAAGACTGAGCTGGGAGGAGGAATTGCCCAGACTGAGTACCAGGAATCTCAGGGAAAGGTGAATTCTAGCTTTCAGTTCTTCTACTAATGAGCTCATAAGGTTTTGAATAAGAGTCATTGTTAAAATCAAACATCGGCAGGGCTAGGTGGCTCAGCCTGTAATCCCAGCACTTTGGGAGGCCGAGGCAAGTGGACTGCCTGAGCCCGCGGGTTTGAGACCCATCCAGGCAACTTGGCGAGACCTCGTCTCTACAATAAATCACAAAAATTAGCTGGGCGTGGTAGCACACACCTGTAGTTCCGGCTACTTCGAAGGCCAAGGCGGAAGGATCGCCGGAGCCCAGCAGGTTGAGGCTGCGGTGGCCGTGAGCGTGCTACTGCACTCCAGTCTGGGTGACAGAGTGAGACTCCAACTCAAAAAACCAAAACAAAACAAAAAACAAACACCAAGAAGTCAGCTCGTAACTCTTCTCAGCGACATGTGACAATGTGAAAACACTTTCTGGCACTCCAAATTCTCACCGGCCACTTGAGGGCCAAGCCAGCAGGCAGAGCTAGTGACCAACACTGCACAGCTTCCCCAGTCAACTGCCCTTCCACAGGAAGGAGGTGTCCAACATTCCAACACTTGAAAAGGGTGTGAAGTGGACCATGGCGTGTGTGCGCCGGAAGCACTAGCTACTGCCTGCTCTAATCCAGTCATTATGGACTGTCACCACCAAGTTATCAAAAACTCAATTTAGTGAAAGTTTCACATTTTTTAATCCAGTAAAATCTAAAATAAAAGTTTAAATAAAAGACAGTTTATTTTTATACTTTATAGATTTTTCTTTTTCTTAGATGTACTAGTAAATTTTGTAGTTTCCCTATGAAGTATGGACTGTTTAGGCCATTTTATTCTTAAAAAAAAAGACTAAAATAAGTATGTTGGAGGTATCACTTGGAACTACTCTGGAAAGCAACTTAGAAGTCTGGGCAAGACCTTTAAAATGTCTATATCCTTGACCCAGTAACCTGACTTCCTCAGAATAATGAAAGTAAACAATGAGAGATCCTAGGCAGAGGTGGTTGGAGGACTGTCCGCTGCAATATTCATCATAATAGCAAAAATCAAAGGGTCCACCTGTCAACCATGCCCCATTCATTCACTGACAACACACCAGGCAGCTTATTTCAAAGACAACTTGCTACCATGGAAAGTGGGTGTAATACAACTTAACGTGTGTCTGGGAGGTGAGAAAAGAACATGCCAAGATGCCAACATGAGCTGCTAAAGGACAGTGGGAGTGTGCTTGCTTTTCATTTTGATATTTGGATATTTCCTAAATCCTCTAGAATATTATATCAGCTTTATCTAATAAAGTAGGTTTGAGTTATTTTTAGACGTAACTAGCTATTTAACAATACAGGATCACCATTAATAATTATCATGAATATTGTGTGACAACAGAATTTGGTCATGCTAAAAAAAAAGCCCAAGTATTTTAGAGACATCTACTAAAGTAGTTACAGAGTCAAGGAGACAATGACTGAGCTTTGTTACACAAAATCACTCAAGCTTCAGGTAGGAGAGTGGAGAAGGGGAAACGGATGTGCAGAAGTGAGACTGGCCAGTGCAGACCCTATCAAATCTGGGTTATGGGTAAGAGAACTTCAGTGTGCTAGCTTTCTGCTTCTGTAAACATTTAAAGTTTATTATAATCGAAGAGTTAATTTTAGAGTTGTTTTTTTTGAATAGGAGTCTCACTCTGTCGCCCAGGCTGGAATACAGTGTCACGCTCACAGCCACTGCAGCCTCTCCCTGCTGGGCTCAGGTGATCCATCTGCCTCAGCCTTTCTTTTTTTTTTTTGGAATTGGAGTCTCACTCTGTTGCCCAGGTTGGAGTGCAATGGCACCCTCACTGCTACCACAGCCTCGACCTACTGGGCTCAGATGATCCTTCAGCCTTAGTCATCCAAGTAGTGGGAACCACAGGCGCATGCCACCATGCTCGGCCAATTTTTTAATTTATTATAGAGACGAGGTGTCACCAAGTTGCCCAGGCTGGTCTCAAACCCCTGAGCTCAGGCAATCCTCTTGCCTCTGCCTTCTAAAGTGATGGGATTATAGGCGTGAGCCATCAAGCCCGGCCTAAAGTTTAAAAGAAAGTGAAAAGCACTATTTTGAAATGTTAAATATAATTAACCATTACTCTACCACTCAAAGACTAGAAAGATCTCATGTTAAGAGGATATCAGCAGATCAGAACTTCCCTTTATATACTTCTGAGTTGTGACTTTAAAAAACACAGTTAATAAGGCAAATATTATCTTCCCTACACCATCAAAGGTAACATGCTCCAGTATCTTAGATATCACTCAAATACTGTCAATTATGGCTGTAAGATACTACTCAATTTCAGAGATGTGGAAATGTAAAAATATGTGTATCTTATAATTGATAAAATGCAGTACAGCAAATATTAGGCCAGACTCAGTCACTGGTCTTTTGTTTTCTGACATGGGATCTGATCTGATGATCTAGTATAGAGCTTTTTTTTTTTTTTTTTTCTGACACAGGGTCTTGCTCTGTCACTCAGGCTGGAGTACAGTGGCATGATAAAAGTTCTGTATAGCCTCGAATTTCTTGGCCTCAAGGGATCTTCCTGCCTCAGCCTCCCAAGTAGCTGGGACTACAGGTGAGTACCACCACACCTAATTTAAAAAAATTTTTATTTTGTAGAGATGGAGTCTCACTATGCTGCCTAGGCTTGTCTTGAACTCCTGGCCTCAAGTGGTCATCCTCCCTCCTTGGCCTCTCAAAGTGCTGAGGTTACTGGTGTGAGCCACCACATCTGGCTATTATATATTTTATAATCTTTAAGATGGAGTTTTACTTTTCTTTCAAAACAGGGAAAGATGACTTGTGAATGGTAGTTGCTGAAGGAAGGTATTTTCTTTTCTTTTTTTTTTTGGAGTTGGAGTCTCACTCCGTCGCCCAGGCTGGAGTGCAGTGGCATGCTCAAGGCCATCACAGCCTCGACCTGCTGGCTCCAGCGATCCTTTCGCCTCAGCCTTGCAAGTAGCTGGAACCACAGGGGCATGCTACCATGCCTGGCTAATTTTTGGTTTATTGTAGAGACAAGGTCTCGCCAAGTTGCCTGGGCTGGTCTCAAACCGTGGGCTCAGGCAATCCACTCACCTCAGACTCCCAAAGTGCTGGGATTACATGCTGAGCCATTAGGCCCGGCCCGTAGAAGGTATTTTCATAGGGTGTAAGTTTTGTTTAGTGAGCACCTACAAAGCTGGGCCCTCAAGGTCAGGTTTTAGTAGCTGATTTGGTTTTATGGTGTGCCCTGGTGCTGACAGCCCTGAGGATCCCCCAGTGACCACGAGCAGGACGGTGAACCACGAGCCTCTGTGGGGTAGCGTGTTCTCCCCGTCCAAGCTGTTTTCCATGGATTGACAGAATTCTGCAGGGTCAGTTGGCGGCCAAGAAGCACATTCCAGGTCTTGCCCTCATCCTATTTTCCTTTTCATAATTAAAATTTTATTAGGTTTTCCTACCCTATTTTATGTAAATTTATCCTGTATTGGGGCAAAGTTTTTCCCTAAAACTGTATTTCGTAAGTTATTTGCTGCAAAGTTTTTAGAAATACATTCCAATGTTCACAGGATTCAATCAATAAACAGTCCATTTACAGACAAAACAGCCAAAACAAACATTAAATATGAAATTTTAGTTTGTACCAACTACTTTACTTTTCAAAGTAGGCTTCTCTTCTCTTCCGCAGCTCTTCTGAAGTAAGATTTGTACCTGACGTCTGTGGAACATCTGGAGATATATTCCTGGAACTACCTGGACAAAGAACAGAACAAAGAGCTGTCATTTTATTTGCCAGTTCAAGCAACAGCATGTTCACACTAATTTGGGCAAACTTTTTTTTCCTGAGTCAGAGTGTCATTCTGTCACCCAGGTTGGAGTGCAGTGGCATGCTCATGGCCATCGCAGCCGCGACTTGCTAGGCTCAGGTAATCCTTCTGCCTCAGCCTTCCAAGTGTCTGGAATCACAGGTATGTGCCACCACACCTGGCTAATTTTTTGATTTATTGTAGAGACGAGGTCTTGTCATGTTGCTCAGTCTGCCCTCGAACCTCTAAACTCAGGGAATCCTCTCACCTCTGCCTCCCAAAGTGCTGGAATTACAGGTGTGAGCCACCTCACTCGGTCTTGAGCAAGCTTTAAAAAAGCGTCTTTCTTAAAAATATTCTCGAGGCTAGGCTCGGTGGCTCAGCCTGTAATCCTAGCACTTTGGGAAGCCGAGTGGATTGCCTGAGCCCACAGTTTGAGACCTCGTCTCTAAAATAAATAAAAAATTAGTCGAGTGTGGTAGCGCACACCTATAGATCCGGCTACTTGGAAGGCTGAAGCAGAAGGATCGCCAGAGCTCAGCAGGTCAGCGCTGGGGTGGCCATGAGCATGCCACTGCACTCCAGTCTGGGCAATGGAGTGAGACTCCAACTCACACACACACACACACACACACACAAAATCCTGCTGCTATTCTGTAAATATGAGAAGGGTTCTTTAATTCTCTGGGAAAATCTGATCAAGGTAGTCTGAATGCACAGCCCATCCACTGCAAGCAAAGCTGTGCCCCATCTGTGGTGGAGAAGAGATGAAAAGTACGTCATACAGCTGACATGGAACGAGAAGTCATGAACACCACACAGGTCACACAGGTGTGCCCTCTCTTTCTTTTTTTTTTTGAGTTGGAGTTTCACTCTGACGCCCAGACTGGAGTGCAGTGGCTGCTCCCAGCCACCACAGCCTTGACCTGCTAGGGCTCCGGCGATTCTTCCGCCTCAGCCTTCCGAGTAGCCGGAATTACAGGCGCGCGCTACCACGCCCAGCTGATTTTTGATTTATTGTAGAGATGAGGTCTCGCTAAGTTGCCAGTGTGCTCTCTTTAACTTATCAGAAATTAATCCACACCTTCAAAGGCGCAGTATTCTTCAAAGCAACTTAAACAAACCTATTCTCTGTGCTCCTCTATTCTGACATTTGTGGAATACAACTTAAATGCTTCTGTGTTCTCACTTGATAGCTGTTCCCGCCAGAGATTTTGCACAAATTGTGAAACAAAGTGGTGAAAAGAATGAACTACAAATAAACACCTAAAGTCATAAAAGCTAGCTTCTGCCCACTCCAGGGCTAACCCAGCAGGGCTCTATTAATCAGATATGGGACCAAACGCCAAATGGACTACTCAGAGTTTGCTCGGAGGCAAGAAAGGTTGTGGCAAAAATTACCTTTGTATTAATGAAATCTCAACTTTAGCCGGGCTCGGTGGCTCAGCCTGTAATCCCAGCACTTTGGGAGGTCGAGGTGAGTGGACTGCCTGAGCCTGTGGGTTCGAGACCCGCCTGGGCAACTTGACAAGACTTCATCTCTACAATAAAACAAAAATTAGCCGGGCGTGGTAGCGCACC